CGCAAAATATATTTATATTATTATTATTATTATTATTTATATTATAATTATATTATTATTATTTGAATTATTTCTTTTCGTTATTTGTAGTCACATCTTAACCTATTTATTTTATTATATTTAATAATAGAAGTAGTTTTTTTTATTATTTTTATTGTTTTTTATGAATTTATTATTTCATTAAAGCTGCATATTAAGTATGCTTTAGTCATATTCAGTCACATTCACTGTGACTGCTCAGCCTTGATCTGGGCCAGGACGAGGTCACTGGATCGAGAACTATTCTCTTCTTCTGACATTAGGAGGTCCTCACCGGCCAACCATCTGGCTTTCATTCGAAAGGCAGAATGTCTTCTGTTCGGTTAGGGTCTTAAATATTAATCACAAAATATTAATCATGATCGAAGTGCTACGCTCCGTTGGGAGCTGGTATCCTGTTTATTCCTATTCCAATGCTTTAGCTAAGACTGTATTTTATTCTTATATATCTTACATACAGTATTGTAAAAAAATACACAGTCAGTATTTGTTGTATATTTTTGGTCTTTATAATAATGTGAAAAGATTTAAAATTACCGATTGTTTCATTAGTGCCTTCAATTGATTGACATCTACAGTAGGCGTTATTGGTTTCAATTATTGGTATTTTTGGGAATAGACTGATAATTTCTATATCTATATCAGTGATAATTCTGATATCTAAAATGATATGAATATATTTTAAATGTTTTCATTTCTAATATTTGAATTACTTTTTAAACGGTAATGTGTCCATTAATGTAATTTGTTTTTCTAACCTAATCATTTGACAAATATTTGATTTCAGTTCATTATTCACAAAAGAAATAATGAAGAAAGTTTTAAAAAAACTTTTAATTTTTCAAATACACATGGGCCAAAATGATTTATATATTTGTGTTTTTCTTGAACTCAGTTTTTATATCAATATACATATTATTATAAAATGGGGAGAATTCGACTCTTTTGGGCTATGGGTATATACATACATACATATATATATATATATACTTTTGTAATTATATAAGGGATATGTGCGTTTCAATAAATAAAATTTTTTAATATGACAACAGTAAATAATATTTATTTAACCGTCACTGTGGTAAACATTAAATGACTTAAGATAGCGTATATACAAACAACCTATATAAATAATAAATCTTTATATAACAATCTATATAAAAACAATTTGTAAACAAACTTAATTTCAAATTTAATTTTATTTTATTATTTTGATATTTTTAATATTTATTATAAATTATTAATAATTAATAATAAATTGTGTTTTTTTTATTAGACTATTTTTTAATAGATTTTAAGTGAGTGACATTAATATTTTAGCATATAATTTTATAAAACAAAATAAATTGTCATCATTTTTTAATTTTATTTTGCACTAGCCTCATATTATTAATATTTAATATTTAACACATCATTGCATATCACTTTTATTTATTTTATGTAAACTCGCGTAATTAATAATTTTATTTAGTTTTGTATGTTGGATTTCGATTGTAAATTTCTTAATTTAAAGTTTTATTTTATTTAAAATATTTTTCTATATAAAATATTATTTTATTTATATTTTTTTATATAAAATATTATATTATTTAATGCATTTTTTTATTTAATGTATTTTTTATTTAATATATTTTTTATTCACAATATTTTTAAATCGATTAAATTTAAAATTAAATATTTTAATTTTTTTAATTTTCTTACTCACAATTAAAACGATTTGTTCTTTATTTATTTATTTATTTATTTGTTCACTTAACCGCCACGTTTGCGTCTTATCAGTGCTGGCTACTACCAGCAAATGGCAATTTGCATTTGAACTTCAGTGCATCACACTTGTTACGAGCGATTTACAGTGCATGCACATTCGGCGAAGGATTCGAAGTTGCCCATTTCATTTTCACACAACTGTTAACTGCTTGTGTGCACGCAAATTGCCGGTTGATGCGATATCAGTTTGGGTGGAGGCGTTGTTTTTGCTTTTGCTGTTCTGGCCAACTTCGAAAAGCTTCGCACGCACGTGGCGTAAAAGCTTTCGAAAACCACTTGTTTATCAATTTTTGTTTACATTTTTTCCTTCACATTTGTTTGGTGCGATAAATTAGACAGTGGATCACTTTTAATAAAGTTTTCTCAAAAACTTTTTTTTATATAATTTGATAAGAATTTTTTTCACTACTGTTCAAAAAGTCTAGTTTCTGTTAAAAAGATAGTTTCTATCGCCATTTTTGATTATTAAAAAGAAATCAATTTTTTTATTTTATTTTATTTGAGTTTATTTTATTATATTTTATTTTATTTTATTTCATTTTATTTTATTTTATTTTATTTTATTTTATTTTATTTTATTTTATTTTATTTATTTATTTATACTAAATAACAATACTGAATTTAACAATTAACGTCATGTGCGAGTTCGAGTAAATTGATAGTAAATTGAGGGAAATAGTAAATTATATCCGTATGGCAGCGAATGTTGATATTTACCAGAATTTCGAGTAGATTAAATTAGATAAAAATTGAGTAAATTAGGTGTTACCATTGTAAAAATTTTAAAAGATGTTTATTGAATAAATTTGAAAACTTTTAATCAAAAATAATAAATAAGTGCAATAAATAAATCAATAAATATTACAGTTACAAAAAATCCCTAGGAAGTTTCAATTTAATTTACCTCAATTTACTCGCACTCGCACATGGGCTTAAACTATAATTCATTGAATCAATTATTCTACAGCTGGTTATTGATTTCGTTCTAATATAATATAGAATAGCAAGTGAATTTGTTAATAAAACTTTCATAGCAAATTCGCAAAAATCTAAGTTATTACAATATGAGTTAAACGCGGCTTTGGGCCACTTAGATAATTAACAAAAAAGTATCAAATATGGCAAGTTCAACTCTTAGTACACACAGTTTAAAATATTATTTACGAATAATCATATATAAGAAATATTCCCAAAACCACTACTGATAATGCGTTTTTCTCAATACTCAAAAGAGCGAAAAATACAATTAATTACAAATGATAAAATTTCGTTACATTAAAAAGTAGTTTACCTATATGAAGAAAATAGTGTCTTTCTTTATAATTGATTTTAAAAAGTTATTGCGTAGTGCTATCGCATCATTGTTACAATTAATGTTCCTATTTGGAATATTAATGATTAATATATTAAGTGCATATTTCAGAATGGATAGAAGTTTCTGAAGATGAATACCTTTTATTAACAATAGCAAAACAAATATGGTCTATTCAAGGTAATTATTGAAGAAAGAATTGAAGGAAGACGCTGCTCTGGAGGAAGAAAGATATCGTGGCTTAAGAATCTAAGACAGTGGTTTTGTAAAAGTATAAGATCGCTGAAGATGTAGACAAAACAAAAATATCAATCATGTTATATATCTTACATACAGTTCGAAGAGGACAAAGCACTTAGGAAAAGAAGAAAAAAACAAATATATGAGTAACGTGAACCATATATAGTATATTGATTTAGCTAAATTGTAACTTAAAATTACAGTTTAAACGTAATTCATTCTTGATAACTACCTCTCTATCAAGACTCATGTCTAAAGAATTAAAAATACATTAATAAAAGATAATTATTCTACTTAAATTTTTTAATGGAAGCGAAATAAAATCGTTGTACTGTGGATATTGAAATGTAAATTCAACAAGAATGTTGCAGGCCCCGTAAGAATGTAAGTTGAATAGCACTGACTAATAACGAATTTTGAGATTTTGTTCCAACAAAATTACGATGAACTAGATGGAGTAACCATATAGCACTTATGAGTACTTAAATTAGTGACTCATATATTCTACTTTAGGAATTGCGATGAAGAAATAACAGTAAGGCGAAAAGAATATCCGCTGGCTTGATGGGGGGACAATTAATTTGATAAGGTTTAGCATCAATGAATGGAAAATAATTGAATTAAACTTTAAAAATAGATGGAGTATTGTAATGTAGATAAATGCTATAGTGCCAATAAAGAAATATCAAACAATGAGAGATTTTTAATAATTTTTCAATATTAGAATTACTTACTTATTATAAGTAATTTGTGTTGGAACTAACCATATATCATATATCATAAGACTCTTCTTATGATCACCATTAAACAGATATATTATTCATTGTATAATAAGGGAGAAAGCGATGATTTAGGACTTTGCTTGGGTTGGTTTCTCGTCTTAAGTGGGTCAGATGTCTGTATTTTGAAGTAGTAGTTCGAAACGAAGAAAATATAATAAACATAATACATATAAATCTTAATTATTATTAATGTAATAAGTGTAATAATAACTATTATTTTTAATGCGGATGGCAACAAATGGGTTTGCTTTGTTCGGTTTCACTAAGTTTCGGTTTTCACTAGTGCACAGAAAATATATCATTTTAGATTGATTTAATTGTTTTATTTTTTTTATGTATTACCAAACCTCCAATAGACGATAAAATGTGTCATAGTCCTACATATTTTAATTTTTTTAGTTATTTACTTTGTAAATTAATTTAACTCATAAGGAAATTCTAAATGTAATATGAAATTCGAATTAACTAAAAATAATAGTAATAATAATAATAATAACACTATAACCTGCTTTAACTGCGGACAAATCTAATAGTTACAAAAAGGTGTATGTCCTTAATAAAACCAGCTTTTAAGTCATTTTTTCTTAAAAAGCTAAAGGATTATCCAAAAAGCTTCAGTTGACTTTGTTATTAAACTTTCAGATAAAGAAACTTTTACAAGGAACTTATCCGCCATAAATTACAATTTGTGAAAAGCTTAAAAAATTAATTTACAATAGATTACATATATTTATAAACAATATTAAATTAAATTCAATTTTAATATGTTTATATTATTTTTCATGCGCTGTATTAATTTTTGAACTTCTTAATTTTTGAAAGTATTTACCACTTTTAATAATATAAAATTACAAAAGTTTCTACTTACTTCCATGTTTATTGCCAATTTCACGTATCATTTCCATACTGCGGTTCTCCACTTTTACGTCCAAAGGATGTTGTGCAAAGGTCATGTTTTCTTTACGCATTTGTTTTCCTAAACTGTTCATCATCAGGAAACAAGTATGTAAGCCGGCAACATTTTTTTGACCATCCGGTTCATAGAAAAAAACCGAGTGATACCATTTGTTGCTATATTAGGAATAATTTAAAAAATTATAATATATTCTGAAATTAAGTCATAAATATTCTTACAAACCGTTTCATAACTGATATGGTCATTTCGGATATCGTTTCAAAGCTTAACATGCCTGTACGTAAGAGCATGTAAAATTCATCAGCACAAGCTGTTTTCTTCTTCTCAAAGGCGTATGTGGAACCACCAACTGAGATCAATGGAGTGCCATGATTGTTGAAATATTTGGTAATACGACCCACAGCAGCTGTGAAGAAAATTAAAATTAATTAAAAATTAATTTCTTATTGATTCTGAGTGAGAACACTCTTTGCATACATACCCAAAGAATAATCACACACTGGTCCAAATATGACATGTGCACAATCTTTGACAATACCATCCATTGCGCCAATAGAAGCATATGCTGCATCACACTTGTCATCCTTGGGCATCCATTCGAAGTGTATGTTACGTGGTATTAATTGAGTTTCGTGTATTTTGTCTTCTGCTACTTGCAGTATGGGCAGTACACGTTTTAGTGATGCTACATAGATGTCATCCTCGGGCAATAACACCAACGCACGTATTGTGCATTTCACTGTAGATTTGGTGTTTGCCTCACAAATTGTTTCACAGGTGCGACTTTGATTATCCCTACAAGCCGTCGATTCACATGTTGTCAGCGGAAGCAACTGGAACATGAGTAGCAGAAATAGAATACACTTAAGTAATACTGCTTGTCTCTTTGGTTTCATAGAAAATTGACTTATATCCTGTTGATTTTTTTCATAATTTTTTTTATTTTGTCTTGCTTTAAAAACATTTTTCATTAATCTAAAAGGCTGATCCAATGCAGAGTTTATAATACAGAAATTATTACTGCTTTGTACTGACGACATCAACGTCTCATTTAGTTGCTGCTTTAGTTGGTTTGGCATTCTTCTATTTGATGTGGTAATACAGAAAATTGTTTTCTTTCTATAACAATTACATATTTCATCAGTTTTGATAGTTCCAAATGCCATGGTTTTGCCAATATTTGAAACACTTTTCTTTTATGCAATAATTTCAGTGCTTTCATTTGGATAATTACTTTCTTTCATCTGATATTGCAATAGATTCATATAAATTATATACTTTTATATTCTTGTAATTAAAAAAAGGAATTATTGTCGTCATTTTAAATAGCCAAAGTAGATAGAAACACATTCCTGCGGAGAGAAGCATGAAATTCTTTAATTAGATATTTAATAAATTAAAATAAATTATAGTATAAATATATTAGATTTATATTAAAAAATAAATAAAGTATTTCTAAAACATAAAATTTTCAATGTATTTTTAAATGGATACTACGTTTCATTAATAACTAATATGTTTGTTCAAGAGTTTTTTAGTTTTCCAGTAATCAAAACCAGTAGTAGAAGTAAGTTTTAAACATAATCCCCACAAGAGACAATTTGATTATTAAAAAGGTCAAATTAAAAATACACTAAATTAATATTGCTAATTTCAAAAGAATAACTTTCACTAAGTCTCACGTTTTCTGAGCCTTAGTAAGTATTACACTAACTTACTTTCCAAGAAAATAAAATTTAAATTCGTTATTAATATTATAATTTGCTTACTCTTCCAAATGTTTTTTTATGTTACGTTTAAAAACAGGTGAAGGAGTACTAATTTAAGCCAATAATAAAGAAAGTTCTGATCACAATTTTATCTGTAATAGAAATACAGTGCAAAATCAAGCACTATGAGAAATATTAACCTAATTTGTAGATAATTATTATTAAAAAATTTATTTGGTTAGATAAAAAGCACAATTTCAAAGTATTCGAACATAACGATTTTCGATAAGCGCAAAAATATTTGAATTGGAACAATTATATCAAACTCTTTGTATACTCGAATAGCATGTCTTCTAATATTGTATTTCAATGACGTTCATAAAATTAAATATTCCACCAGATGGTATTTGAACAATTTCAAGCCCGGAATAAATGCTTAACTACAAGCCTATTCGAATACCAAAATGTTCGGAAATTAGATCAGTTCGAATATAGTTGTATAGTTTCTTTCTAGTTTCTTATTTATGTTATACTACGTGTTTCTTATACAGTTATAAGCAGTCATCAAGAAATACTTTATACGATTAAAACTAGAAATATAACTTTATATGTAGTATATATAAAATCATTTAGATGGACTGTTTCTATTTTTACTATTGGTAGTATGATAACATAAAATTTTATTTTTATTTCTGAATTCAATTATAAGAAATGTATTATAAACAAGATATTTGTCAATAAATATTATAAATAATGGATATGTATATGGTATATTCAAAAAATATATTCATTAAAAATATATTTTAATTACAGCCATATGCTCTTAAATATATTTATCGGAGTATTAAATATTTTAATACATAAAAATATTTTTTGGAATTAAGTTATACAATATTTCCATTTGAAGAAGTTTACAAATCGCAATCACTTTATTAGGTTCGTAGAACTCATCCGTCAAATTTTTTATTCTGTCTATAATTAAAAGATCAATAACCAGAATGTTAATTAAATGAAAATTTTATAAATGTTTTTCATATTCGCAGTATTTTTAATTATTTATTACTTACTATAAGGTATCAGATACTATAATAAAAAGTTACTCACACCGACCAAAAATTTGTTTTCAATAATTTTTAAAATTCAATATATACAAAAAATATTAAAATTACATAATAAATCATTTAAAACTGATAAGACATACAACAAGTTGCTTCTTTAAGTAGTGAAGTATCTATTTAATGTTAGATAATTTATCACATCAAAACAAATACGAGTAGTGCATGAAAAATATAGTAAATAAACAAAATATTTTCAATACTTCATTAAAATTTTTATCAAATTACCTTAACTGTTTTTGGAAAATTTTAAAAACTCTATAAATAGAAATTTTACTATTGGTAATCAGAAAAATAATTTTTTTAAGTAGAAGTCACACTTAAATAGACTAGACACTTTGAACTCATATGTGGTGTACTATATTTAGCATTATTGGTTATTCTATTTATATTTTTATAACTATTTATAATTAATTACGTTGATTAGAGCACTTATACTTGTTAAAAAAGTTAACACTATCGAACACTGCCATAAATCTTTACATACTATACTTTTTTATAATATATTAAACATTATGATATTATTCTCTGACAAATTCTACAATCACGGAACAACCTTGACAATGCTATAATTCTGCATGGTAATGAATAGAATAAGTTTACAATCATCCATTCTTTTTTTTTTGTTAATCTCAATTATTACAAAATTTATTAATTGAGATTAATTAATTATTTTATTAATTATTAATTATTATTCTTATAAATAATAACTAAATATACATTGGTTTCGAAACTTGCACCTACAGTCACTACTATTTAATGAGTTCTATGGATCTTATTTAAATACTCTATTACATATGTACTTATATATTTTAATACTCTATAACATATATACTTATATGATTGATAGGTTAGATTAGGTTGAGAAGGCGCGTGCTGTCATAGCAATCAGCATTTCTACCCTTCCACATGTATTGCCCAATGCGATGCACTAATGTTGCATTGATATTTTCTGGTATCAACTTGTCTTTGATAAATCATTTGGTTTTCCAGATGAAACTGAGTAAGTCCTACAAGTCTTGTTCGTTATCTGATTCAGCCTTGTAACGAAATGGTTTCTAAAAGATTGAAGTTGCTTTGTCTGTATACCCGAATAAAGACACAGAAAGTGATTAAAGGATTCTAGCTCATATTCAACGTGGCAATTACTGCAAAGGCCACTGGTTGGAATATTTCATCGTAAAACCGTTGGTGCAATGGTACAGTGCCCCATTAATAGTTTAGTAAGAAAATTTGAAAAAATGTACGATTTATTCCTCTCTAATCTAGTCTAAATAATTCTGGCAATCTTACAGTCTTCATAATTAGTTCACAAGTCATTTCTCATCACGATAATTCTTCTATGCTCCTAAATAGTTAATACATCGAAGTTTGTGTCGATTACTTGACCTCATCTGTATAGATGTCAGAACTTTTTCTGCTTAATTTGTCTACTATCTTCTTCTCTTTAATATTCTTATGTCCCTGAACTCAACAAACAAAGCCTTTGTGATGTTCCATGTTCATTAGCGTGGTGCGGCATTACATTACAGTCCTCGATTTAACTATCTTGAATTCAATTCCCTTTATGGCTGTCAGTCTGCCTACAAAGATAGCGATATTTGAAGGTTGGATCATACTGGCTTGTATCTATCTATTTACTTTTTCGATTATCTCATCATAAAAGTTCCTGCAAGTATTAGTTCGTCAGTTTGACTTCCATATTTCTTAAGTAGGTATCGGTGTCAACTACTCGATAATTGATTACTTTAGGTAAGCATTAATTTTGAATAAAAACAGGAATAATATCATATTCGCATGTATATAATTATGGTCTTTATAATATGTCATATCGCTCAATAAGTCTCCAGTGTTCTCCAACATTCTATTACACGATATATATTTTATGATATGCTGAGAATTCGTAAATAGATCACACATTATTCTTTGATATAGAATAATACTATGAAAAGCATCACTAAGACCCTACATCAATCAAATCAGAGCAGACTTAAAATACACTGGTCACTTAAAGTTAAGAATTGTTCTAAAAAACATAAAAACAAAAAAGTTTTAAAAGACCGTAAAGTAAAGTTGCGTAAAACAGCTGATATTTTGAATATATCGGAGGGAATGTTATATTGTTAATGATTTTACTCAAAAATTTGTACATCTGTGTTTCTTAGACTCAACCAAAAACAAGATATCATAATTCGATTGTTAAATGGAATGGGTGTTGCTTTGGACTGCCCCTAGCAATCATAATCTACAGATATCACTCCTATCATCACTTTTTGCTTACATCAGAAACATGCTAGTGGTAAAGAGATTTGGTTGAGAAGTGATTGCTGAAACTGAGATCCATTTTAGGAGCTAAGATAAATTATTCCGATGAAAAGTCAATAAAAATTTAAAAAAGCGTTGCGATAAAGGAGAGTGTGTTTATGTATAAGATCAATTTTTTAACAAAAAATGTGTTCTTCTCAGTTTGACCATTGACTTATCGAGTTATGCATAACACCTATGTTTATAGTATGTATGTACTACATTCACATTTAACATTCACACCGATATAGAAATGTAAGATATATATAAAGAAATAGTTAACGTAATTGAGATGTATTCATTGTCGTTGTTAAATATTATTGCTATGACACTGGATTTAGGCAGTATTGTATTTTAGCATATATATCATCTACAAGTTTCGGTTTTTTCAAATTTTATAAAACGTGCTGTCTTATTACTAAGTCAAGATTTTTTAACTGATATTAACTGATATCCAAATTATTAACTGATTCACTAATCTCAAACAACAAACATTAACAAACTTAAGTAATGCCTGCAGATGGCCTGACTATATTTTATATAGAATGACAGTTAATTAGCCTCATAAATTCATGGATTGTTTATAATATATATTTTTTATTGTTTATAATATTAATGAAATTATGATAATGTACGTAAACAATAGCAAATTAATCTAATAGTCTTAAGTAAGAAGTGAAAATTTATAAAAAAATAAAATTTTATCAATTTATGGCCTAAATAAATATAAATAAAAAATTAATAAAAATAATTTTTAAATTATTTATAATTTTATTTATTAATATAAAAATCGAAAGCACAAACAATCGTATCGAAAATAAAATATAAAATGTTTCTACCCAAAGTTAACACTGCATTATGTGTGCTTAATAGAAGTTAATTAATTAAAGAAACCAAATAAAATTTGAATAAATTTCTAATAAATCATCTGGAAAATACATTAGAATTAATTAAAATGATAAATTAATTGAGTAGCGATAATTAAAAATAATTTGTTTTCACAATTTTATACGAAAGCAAATTTCAAATTCCAATGTAAAAAACTTGGAATTGAAGTGCCTGACATGAGCTGATTTTTGAAGTGTAGCTATTTAATCCCGTCAGTTGATTTTGTCGAGCTATTTTTAAAAGTGCTTATATATAATTGAGGCAAAATATAAATAATGAATCATGGTCATTTATTTAAAATACCCGTACGTTCAATTTTTGCCATCGAACTAAT